AATAAATAATACAAATTTATGGTTCGGTTGAGCGACTGACCCGAGTCTGTATCCAAGTTGTTGCTGTCACCGAGCGATAGTTTTGATATACCGGTTTGTAAATAGTTATCGATAAAATGGCAAATGGCTAATATGTTCTATACATTTCATTTCATTTATTTACCTATCACATGAACAAGCATTACAAATATTTATAGCGATAGCATATAAGAAACCACTAAGGTTTATACCTAAACTATCGATAGTTTATAATTTTATAAGATAATATAATTTAATATAATTAATTTTATAAGATAATACAAACAGCCTTGTCTCTTGTGCAATTTTTAAGATTATGTTTCTGATTTATTTAATATAATATATTGTGATTATAATATAGTTTATAATAAAGCAAATATATACAAATAAATACAATACTTAGGAGTGGTGTTAATACATTATATTAAAATTATTAAGTGTGATTTTAGACCATATTGTTTTTTTTATTAATTTCTCTGCTGAGCACGCCAAGCTTTTAAGAGGCCAATTTGGCCTTCCCTTCCAAGTGACCACGAAACTGCACACATACGTCGACGCCAAGGATTACGATGCTAGCTGAGGCAGCAAGGGGAGTGCCTTGAAACTGAGGAGATACAACAAAGCGGTAAACGCGCAAACTTGTGTCTTCTGCGGATTAAACTGGACTAGATTTAGTCGCTCCCAATCCGATACTTTGTTCAGCAAAGACTAAACCTTACCTACCTTGAGGGTCCTCCAGCTGATTAGTGACCGCCAATACAGTTTTCGTCGGGGTAGATCAGCTGGTGATCTTTTGGTCTACCTAACTCATAGATGGGCGGAGGCAGTAGAGTCCAAGGGGGAGGCGTTGGCCTTTAGTTTGGACATTGCGAAGGCCTTCGATCGGGTTTGGCACAAAGCGCTTCTTTCGAAACTCCCTTCCTATGGGCTTTCCGAGAAATTGTGCAATTGGATCATCAGCTTCCTAGCAGATCGGAGTATCAAGGTCGTTGTAGACGGTGCATGCTCCGACTACAAGCCTATTAACGCCGGTGTTCTACAAGGCTGTGTGCTATCACCAACGCTGTTTCTTCTGCATATCAATGATATGTTGCAAACTATTTACATTCATTGCTATGTATGTCATAAGTATTCATTGTATGTGTATAAGTGCTAAGTGCCAATATTTTTCAGCAAAACGTCGCCGAGTACCGGAATAAACTTGTGTCTGAAGTAGAGTCTTTGCTGAACAAAGTCTCGGATTGGGGGCGACTAAATCTAGTCCAGTTTAATCCTCAGAAGACACAAGTTTGCGTGTTTACCGCTAAAAAGAACCTCTTTGTCGTATCTCCTCAGTTTCAAGGCACTCCCCTTCTTGCCTCAGCTAGTATTGGAATCCTCGGCGACGCCGAGGATTCCATATCGAGTGACGTGCAGTTTCGTGGTCACTTGGAAGAGAAGGCCAAATTGGCCTCTAAAAAGCATGGCGTGCTCAGCAGATCGGGACAGTAGTTCATGCCCGCACACCGCCTGTAACTTTACAAGGCGCGGGTTCGGCCTCACATGGAATACTATTCCCATCTCAGGGGCAGGGGCTGCCCACAGCCAGCTTCTTCTACTTGACCGCATCCAGCGCAGAGCGGCTCGAATCGTCGACGACCGAGTTCTTTCTAATCGGCTCGATACACTGACACTACGTAGAGATGTTGCATCTCTTTGCATATTTTATCGCATCTATCACGGGGAGTGCTCTGAGGAATTGTTCGGACTAATTCCAGCCGCTCAATTTCGCCATCGCACATCGCGACAAAACTCACGTTACCATCCATACCATCTGGATGATTCCCGGTCCACCACTGTGCGATTTAGAAGAAGTTTTCTCCCTCGCACAACTTCCTTGAGGAATCGATTACCATCAGTGATTTTTCCGGACCGATACGACTTAGGGACCTTCAAGAAAAGAGCCTACTCCTTTTTAAAAGGCCAGCAACGCATCTGCAATTCCCCTGGTGTTGCGGTTGTTCATGGGCGGCGGTAGTCACTTACCATCAGGTGAGCCGCATGCTCGTTTACCCCCTCTCCTATAAAAAAAGCACCGAAATTTGTATCTAATCTAAAACATTTTCACAATGAAATTGTTAGTAACTTCAACAAGCTTATCTTGCATTCTTTCTTATTGTGGTGGATTTATCGGTGGATGCCTCCTTTAAATACGATTTAAGATTTAGAAATCACTATAATTGATCATTCTTATGTTAACCATTGAATTGATTGGTACTGTAATAATCTACTAATAGCAGTAATATCACAGATACACTAGATCTACAACAACATCTGAAAAAGATTCATCCAAGTCTAGAAAATAATGTTTATGTTGCTAATATTCTCCCTATTGTAGCAATTTGTTCTGCCCGGGGAGCGGCCAACGCTCCGAGTGGTAGTTCGGAGCTATTCTATATATACTGCTTCAAATTCGGAACTTTATTAGCGCGATTTAGGCTTCGATGTGTTTTCGTTTGTGGCGCGACGACAGGGCCGCCACATCACCCCCCTGCTCAGACCGGAGGTCGATAGTGCAGTCCAGATGTCGACGAATTTGCAAGTGCCAGGTAATTGCCTGTTAATTCTGCGGTGAGTCGAGAAGAAGGCAAGTAATCTGCGAGAGTGCCATGAAGCAGAGGCGAGCAGTAAGGCTCAGAGCCGTGCCGAACACTGTAGCGCAGAGAGTAGCTTGAAGGAACAGGAGGCATTATTATTCTTGATGAACCTTTGTAAAGTTAGATGGCGTGCAGAATGGGAAGACTGCAGACAATATCCTCTCGGGAGCGAATGAATGGGGTACTTGAGGACGATGATGATGGTTTTGAAGTTGTAGTTTCCGATTGTTGTTGGTTGCATGTTCATATCACGTCGGGGTCACCACTGTGGCGGGTGGAAGGAAAAGGGAAGATCTCCCGCCGGGCAATTTGTTCTGCCCGGGGAGCGGCCAACACTCCGAGTGATAGTTCGGAGCTATTCTATATATATACTGCTTCAACTTCGGAACTTTCTTAGCACGATTTAGGCTTCGATGTGTTTTCGCTTGTGGCGCGCCGACAGTGCCGCCACACTATGTACACGCACATACCAACGTATATAATATGCAATTTGGATATAGATGATAAATCAGGCTCACATTGGATAGCTTTATATCGCGATACGAATGGCATTGGTCAATATTTTGATTCATATGGACGATTACCTGCACGTTGTCATCTAGAGTTTTTAAAAAGGAATTGTAAAAAATGGGACTGGAATGTCGATAGGGTTCATAATGAGTGGACTTCAGTTTGTGGTGAATATTGCTTAATGTATTTGCTATATAAGTTTCAAGGATGTTCAATGCATAGTTTTACGAACATATTTACAGGGAACACACTGTACAACCATATATTTTAATGGATGAGATGTTTCGCTCCTATTTGATAGATGTACGTGGTAGAGCCATGCTGCAGCTATATTAGTAGTATAGTTGTAGCACGAATGGAATAGTTCGACCGGGGAAGGACCATGCTCTCACAGAATACCAGCGTAAAATAGTAGCTTAACACTGCTGTGTTTCGTATGGTGAGTGTAGAGAACCGGAGACCCTTTTTACTGGATAAAAGGCATTCCATCTTAGTCCTCACGAGTGGTGACGCATCTGCATTTTGAATCGCGAATGAGGATAGATGTAGGTGTCTATGGGCCGCGGTAGCCACTTACCATCAGGTGGACTGTGTGGTCGTTTGTCACTCGATCCTATAAAAAAAAAACATTTTGGAAATAAAAATTGTAACAAAATTAAGGAATGTATTTTATTGATGATTCAGAATAGCGTGGTGGTAATGAATAAAGAAGTATAATACAATAGCAGGGTGTACGACGTGTACAATGAATAATAGATAAGAGCGGTAATGATGGTGTTCAAGGAACAAGGATAAGAGGAAAGGGTGAATAATGGAACGCTAATGAGGGTGCAGGCCCACCGGAAATTAGAAATAAGTTAATTGATTTTCACATCTCCGGAACCGCGCATCCTACGCAAAAATGGACCCCAGATTCGGGATCAGGGCATGCCAAAACCCTCGTATTTAGGATCCGTCGACCCACCGTCAGACGATGAGAGCTGAGAGTTGTACCAGTTCTGACTCAGTGAACCAGAAATGATACAACATAATTACTGTCAATGTAATAACTAACCCATGGATCTTTGTTGCCTGAAATAAATGAATTTGAATTAAATTGAACTGAATATTCCGGTTGTTACCTTGTACTAGTAATATTTCTTAGTCTACTAAAAAGGTAAAATAATCAAAAATTTTATTATTCAATTCTAAAAAACTATAAATAAATTTGTAAAGAATGAATTTAGGATATCCTAGCCTTAAGATACTGTGAAACAAGGTAGGGTGATTGTCACGTTCAACGCCCAGTTCGCTGCACGCTTGTCAATTGATTTTCTATAGGCGATATGGGAGTACTGAGCTGCGTGTATAGAGAGCTAGTATTATTGCAAGCTGTCATGGACAGAAATATGAGGTGGAGCATCCATTTTGGGATTTTACTCACGTTTAATTTTTAGTGTTCTGTGATAATATTGCTAAAAAGGAACACTTCTGGAATCCCATAGATATTTTGTATATTACGAAGATGGCTTAAATTCGGTATAGTAGACGACCCGCGCAAATCAAGACACCTGGCAACACTCCAAACGAAAAAAATCCCATTGAGCTAATAAATCGGTATGCCAATCGGCCGAACTCGAAACACGTTGAACCAAACACATCCATGAGCGTTCAAACGCTATCAGCCAAGGATCTACATTTTATGAGCTTATACTTAATAAAGTAACATTTATTTTTATAAACTATCTTAAGCTAATACTTGTCTTATACTGTAAGCGCCGAGTAAATCTGATAAGAACAATAAATTCTGAGCAAATTGTAAAACAGTTGTGATACATACCTGCGTAATTATTATCCAGTATATAGCGTACATTGACTTGCGTCGATCGTTACAAATGTTCCAAACTCTTTGAGTGCTTCGATAAAAGATTTAATATAAGAATAATTTTTAGAACATAGCATAACGAAAAATCTGCATTTTTGTTACTTTAATAGCAAGATATTTGTGATGTTGTCTGTATTGAAATCGCCGAGATTAAGACAGTATGCCGTTATTTTATTAGGTACGTATACGTTCAATACTAATAATAATAATAATAAAAGTAGCGTAGGGAAGTGACAACCCCATCACCCGCTGACGTAACAGTTAAGTGATAAAACTGATACATCAGCGCAGTCAGTCAGCACCTTGCCAAGCGGTGTTAGCGTCGTGTCTCGGAAAAATTGAGGGTGCAAAGACCCGTTTGTGCATATGGCTCCATCATGAAACGGCGCCGGGTCTAGGCGTCTCCCGTTAACTTACGCCCATAAAATTGATGATTGCACAAGGAGAAACGCGCATAGGGCCGCTGCCTGGGGATCGCCGGGGCACGTCTGGTGCTGGCGCTGGACGTGACAGCATGCGGGCCGCCAGCCAAGCGCGAGGTGCTGCACGACCACCTAGCAGCGCCTCACATCCATCATTCCCACCAGATGGCTTGGTCGGCAGGGTCCTCTCGGACCCGGCATGCGGCACCCGCCGCTGGTGGAGAACGCCGCATGCGATGGAATAAAAACATGAACACAAACGCATTGCGGGCGCACTATAAGGGAAAAGGGGAAGAAGCTGGAGGGATAGCGTATCGGGCTCGGATGCATCGCTTTCTTGCTGAGCTGGAAGTAGGTGTGAATTGGGGCTTCTGCGTCACTTTACTCGCATTCGCTCGAGCCACGCCGCTGAAGATCCCAATTCTCTCCAGAGAGGTACAATACTCGTATTTTTAGTTTAACCAAATTAACGTCTACATATTCACAGTTCTATCCTGCGGGAACAGGTGTACTTCCACCTCCAGTTGAGTAATTGAGCATTATATTCAGAGCGTTTGCGAGATACTGATGGTATTGCCGCATCTATATGATAAATTTCTAATAATACAAGTTGTTTAGCCTAATTTCATTGTGGTTAGTGCTAATAAACGTTTTTAAGCTATTGCATAGCTTTTATCGAGGGCTTTGAGTGCGCCGACCGCATCAAGAAATTCCGTAACGAAAAAAAAAACCTAAGATCGGAAAACCTAACATTGTAAATCCATTACAATAAAGATGTTAATTAATTTGCAACCATCCGCTAACTAAATACAATGATGTGTCTTACCTGGATTGAAGAGCGCCTCCCACCCTCCCTCAATTGTTTCATTATTGTTTTATTCTCATAGCGAGTGCGCGTTGATTACAACGCTCGTCAAATATCATATATATTGGTGAGTTTAATTATTTTTTTACCATTTAGAAATTCAGCCGCCATTACCTTTTTTTTGACTTCATACTTGTTTTTGTTAATTGCAGATTATGGGCAACACTGAGGAACACAATGATTCTATTCCTATAACTAATCCGTATTACTATGCACAGGATGTTGATAAATTTACACTAAATTATTACAACCGAAAGGAGCAGCTTCACGATTCACCACCAAATAGAATAGCTATTAATGAAGAGCGGCAATCGAAATCAAAGAAATGTTACAGGAAGAGAAACCGTTCTCAAGAATCATCATCATCATCATACATTATCCGCCGAGATAAAGATAAACAAGGTCATCGTCTGATTAAAAACAGCATTTGGGAACTTAACGAGCAAGAAGAAAATGTCATCCACGATCTTAGTGCTAATATAAGTGTTCAATATGTTGTGGATTCAATGTATGATGAAGTGTTAGATGCTACAAATTATCTTATAAAAATATGTGAAAAATTATGTGAGAACTAGTAATTTAATTAATGTAGCTTGTAAAATATAATAAAAGTTATACATTGAATTTTATTGTTGTTTTATTATATATCATTATTTTTCAATTGTGTAGAGGATAAAAGAAAAAGACATTTATTGTTACAACGAATGTATTTATTAAAACTAAATATTTATTTATTTTAAATTAATAAAAAGTTATAAACATGATAATACATGTAACTTAACCTATACATTTATCTCTTACTTACTTATACAGTACATGGTAGTAGCATTACATAGTTTTACATTCAAATTTATTAAAATATAGTTTTATAGTGTCCCCACGGTAACGTATTGTAGCCATCTGCCACAATTTGTCTTTTATCATCATCTCTATTAAGTACAAGTTTATCAATTTTTGAGTAAATATTTGATGATTCTTTGATCTAATTATACACATACTCTTTCTAAAGTTTTAATTAGACCATAACGCTCGTTTATATTTTTCAATATTAAGATTTTTAGTTACAGATTTTTTAATACCCTTAGCTTTTCTAATTGAGTTTGTTTTAGAATCAATACAATATAATTTCGCTCTTAATCCAACAAATTCAGTTATTATATCACCATCCATTTCGTCTTTGAAAAACCCTGGAATTTTACAATTTACTTTGGGCATATCATATTGATTGTTTTTGAAATTACCTGTATCAAAATATTTTATATTTTTTTTTCATGTCTTCATAAAAATCATTTGTATTTATTAGATACAGCAGACTATCAGTATCAGTATAACAAAGTTGCAGTGAATTTTTATACATACGCTTCATTATAGAGTAATGAAAATGATATAAATGAAACTTAGCTAAATTCAGAATTGAAAACCCTATGTAAATTGGGCGATCAAGGATAACTTTTGTTAGTTCTAACTGGATTGCCACTAACGATTCTGAAATTATTGACAAATTTTTAAAATTAGGAGCACTTACATATTTTTCATCTCCATATAGTTTATTAGTCTTATTGGATGTACCTTTCCATACATTAACCAATTTTACATCGACTTGTTTTCGTTTATTCTCTATTGTCTTTCCAAAAAATAGAATTATTTTGTTTTTTAAAAAAATCTCTTTCAAAGTCTGAAGTAGCGTTTTGTCTGTTGTATTTAATAAAATATATGGTGCTAAAAATGCATTTTGACTAAATAACAATATCCTATAAACTTTGAGCAGAATGAGTCCATTACGTAAATATTCTTTTAAATGCTCATAATGAATAACATATTTACATTTATCGTACAAATTAGCTATTAATTTTTTATGTTTGCTTCCTGGCGGAGCAAACTTTTCTGCTGCAAATGGTAAATCTGAATGATCATCATGTATTTCAATTGGATAGTGCAAGTCTACTTCAAGAATATACCCAATACCACTATCATCAGGAACACTCATTACATCAAATTGATTAATTTCTTTTTCACTTAGGAATTTAAAGTTCCTCGTTGGTAACTTTTGCATCATAGCAAAACCATATAAATTTACACAATCAAGATAAATTAAAAAATTATTTTTATCCTTGCTGTCATAATAGGACATGTATTTATTGTTTGCTTTTGCATATCTTAGAGAACATTGAGCAAGACCACCACGAATTCCTTTCTCTAAAAATTGGTACATTTCAATATCTGAAAGTAAATCTAATTGTATGTTCGTATGAAACAGCATAGCATCCCAACTTAATGATGCGGATGAGACATAGTAACATGGGTCAAGACTATTATGTTTCAAACTCATAGCTCGGAATTTTTCAAAAACATCACACAACAGTAATACATCACATTTTATATATAAATCGGTGTATTCACCTAAGTTACGGATTTTAAAATCATTCCATACCTTCAAGGCATGACTGTAAATCTTCATCTGAAACAGATTGAGAGGTAAGGTGATTGAAAAATTTCGATTGCTCTGGTAATTGATTTTCTTCATACCGATACCTTGAATCTATATAGTCATAACAGTAGATACCTTTCTTTCGAAATAAATTAAATAAATGTTTATCTTCAAAAAACTTGCATAATTTTTTAAAATCTTTCGCTTCCATCGTATTCACTAAATTATCTAAGCACGAACACAAAAAGTTGAAAGAGTCAATAAATTTCAACTGAGCTGAGTTCTTATTATTATTATTATTTTCTATTGGAATAAACTTAGTAAATGAAATAAAGTTTTCTTTATTTCGGGGTATTAGATTTATACGATCGCAAATGGTGGAAATTTCCTTTATAAATAAATGACAATCATAACCAGAAAGGTTGTGAAATATTATAGGTATGAATGAGCATGTCTTAGCTTTTAAATTACAATCGTTATGAGCAGGACCTCTGTATTTTCCAGTAAAGTGATCATGATCTGCAACTATGATATCTGTATTACTAAATATTTTTTTACACAAATGACATTCCTTTACATTATTCAAATAGTCTCGCCCCGTTTCACCGATTACCAGAGGCGTATTATTTGAAAGTAATTTATGTAACCGTTTAACATCTTTACTAATTGATTCAATAAATTTTTTAGCACACTCCGACCCTCGATAGGAAACTAATTTATTGAGTTCGGGCTTAGAATTACAAAATATATAATATGCAGAACAACTGGCCTCATGGATTTGAATATTTTCCACATACGTAGTTTTATTTTTGTCTGAATACTCATGTAATAAACTCTCAAAGTCGCCGTATATTATAATAGGAATTCTTTGAGTCTTTTCATTTGAAAAAGTTTGAAAAATAAAGTTTTGTATTTTCTTCCGGTAAAATGGTGTGGATCCTCGCACAATCATGATTTAAAGTTTTTCTGCAGTGTTAAAATATAAAAAAACATTCTTCATATATTTAATATAAAAAACATTCTTCGTATTTTAGATTTATGCTTAGTTAATTGCTTGTGTACGAGTTTATCAAAACTTTTTATCAAACAAAAAATGATGTTTATTATTTTTATTTAAGTAAAGTAAGTTAACATGCATTATCTTTCTTTTTAAAGTTTTATACAGCCGTCCGGTCACATTTTTTTTATCTAAACCGTAAATATTAACGCTCACATTAGGATTCATTTCCTCGCATAATTTAATATCATTAAAACTTGGAGGAAATAACAAATTATCCGTTTTTAAAAGTTCTGAGTAATGAGGTTATGAATTCACTGTGTTAGGATTACTTGTAGTTGAATACAAATGAGCTAAAATACTCCAAAGAAAGCAGTGTTTATCATTGTTTTTTAAATTTAAGCATGATTTTGTATTACGTATTTTTTCAGGTAATGGTATATACGAACCAAATCTTAACGGATTA